AGTTTTTCTTTGTTTTCTATAAAGAATCATAGCCAGTTTTAGGATTGATTTCTACGTTATAATTTCCTCTAGTTCCCCCCTGAAATATCAAACACTTACGTGACACTAACTGTATTCCAAATACCAAGTGTTTCCTATATAGCTCTTAACTTAATCCCAACGATCATTATCACTGCTGCCGTTTTATAGATAAAGAAATAAAAGCAGAGGAAAACTAAGTAATGGGATCACAATTACACATATAGTAAGTGGCAGGGCCAGGATTTGGACTCCGGCAGGGTGGCCCCAGGCTGGGCACATCTAACCTCTCTGCTACACCGCCTTCTTCATCACGTTTCTCATGCACACAGCTGTCTGTGCAAGTGATCAGGAGGGAGTTAAGGAAAGGGGTGCTCAGGGCACCTGTGGCCTCCCCTGCTGTGTCGGCACCTCCCAGCAGACTGGCTGCAGCGGGGGAGGGAGTCGCCCTCATAGAGTTCCTGGTGGAGCTGGGGCTGGCGAAGGAGCAGGCGCAGCAGCCTCCGTGTGACTGACTCACACAAACACAAACTCCCCTGAGAGGAATCGAGACAAATTCCCCTTGCCCCAAATGCGTTTGAGGAAGGTAAAGTAACTCTTGATTGGGGGAAAAGCACCCTCCAGGGTGCTGCTAACATGTGCAAGAGGTGAATTACAGCACCTGACACATGCTAGGTGCTCAGTGAGTTGGAGCTGTCATTTCTTACAAGGTCACGTTGAACCATAGGAGACGTGACTGTCCACAGCGTTCCACCTACCCAATGGCAATTTCACGTGGTTGGTTCCATTTACATTTTAACTGTTATTGTTAATGTCCCACTCACCCTCTAGGCTGAACTCTGTTTAGCAGCAACGATAGTGTACTTTTCAGATCAGTGTCACAGCGCCTAGGGGGCATACCTGACTCCAAGCCCACGCTCATGAAATGCTTACAGAACTGAATCGAAAGAGTACCCATTCAGTTCACTTGCTAGATACTGAACTAGTATAGAGTCATAAACTCTATACACAACTATTGTGTACTTTTCCTAAGCTGGCTAAGTTGTTGACAGACTCACTGAATACATTCATAGCTTTGACTTCTAGGATTCCAGAAGTAAAAAGGGAATGGAATGCACAGCTGTCCCACCTTTTGTCGCCTACCTGGAATGACTTCAAAGACAAACTTTCCAGCTTCTTCTGGGTTTGTGGCGATCTCTTTGATTGTACTTCCTGGTAGATACATACAACCCTGAAATAGCAAAAGTCAGGCCTTTAAGATAAGCAGCGATTTTATCTCCTATGAACTAGCATTAAGTTGGAGGACAGATAAGACAATGATGGGATTGGGCAGGGGAATAAGTGGAGCAGAGCATGGAAAGTTAGCTTTGAATGGGTCCCCCTGCTATTCAGGTCTCAGTCAAATTAAGTGGTAGCCCTGTGAGAGCAAACGAGGTGCCTAGAGAGAAAAAGACAAGGTCCTGACAGGAGAATGAGCTGAGTGGGTGCCCTCACCAACACTTGCTTCCTCCGATTTTTCCAAGAACCCAACTTCCTGGCCAAACCAGACCAAATGTGATCTTTGTGAAGGCAATGCTGAAACTGAGTGGACCGTACTACCTGCCAGGCTCCCAGAGGGGCCACTGAGGACTGAAACCACAGCTAGCATTCAAGGGGATGGGGTCTTCCTATTTGCTAAGCGCCTTGAATATGTTATTCATTTAGCCCTCCCAGCAATCCTCCGAGCAAGGTATCATTCTGCCCATTTACAGATGAGAAAACTGGGCATCATAAAGGTTCATAAAACTGGGCATCATAATTTGCACAGTGTCACAGAGGTAGGAAGTGGCAGAATGCTAATTCATCTCAGAAGTGAGTTCAAAGCCTGTTGACACAGTGGGGACCCTTCAGCTTAATGTCCCCTAGAAGTGGGGAGGAGGATCATGGATCCATGGGGCAGGGAAGCAAGGGTGCAGTAGGACATGTGACCGCTTATATAAACATGACCTCTTATATGAATATGTTATTAGAAAAAATAAGTCACTTCCACCACGGGTATGTTTGATGCTTTACCATTTACAGTCACAGGCAGGGTCTCTTCAGATCCTCACAACAGCTTCATATCAATAGCATGGCGAGGTTTGCCATTTTTACTTTGCAAATGAAGAAACCGAAACTTTGAAAGGCTAAGTGGCTGCACTAAGGGACACAGTTAATTTGTACTAGAGTTAGTTGCTCATCATTTACATCTCAGCGGCTACTGGAGGTGGCATGTCTGGTTCTGAGCTGTAGAAACATGTGTGTCTTTTATTCTAGAACAAAGTACCGATGAAGAGGGTTGGCAACAAAGAAGCTACAAAGGCGAGAGTTTTAAGGAACACTGATGGGAAGCAAGAATTGTCACAGACGAAGAAGGTCCTAAGTTGCCCATGGCCACTTTCACGTACTTGGCAAGTTGATTAGGGTAAACCCCATGCAAAGATGGAAGGAGGGCAAGGTTTATGCTGGAGGCCACAAAGTCCTGCAGCAGTGATGGGGAGCGAAGTGTGATGGTGGTATGCCAGAACCCACATATATTGAGAACTGTTACATTTTCAGGAACTCTGTGAGCCAGTTGTTAAACAGAGCCATTATTAAAGGTTAAATTATAATAACTTACAATGAAATATTCTAAAAATAAAAGTAATGATACGCAGAATTTGTCACTTCCTAATTATGTACTATATTTGACTATGATTTCTATTCATGTGGTTATTTACATCTAATCCATCTGTGTAGTCAAAATACTACATAACACTGTGCTATTGCATATCTCTTCTCAACTCTGTGTTCCGTGATGTCATGTTTGTAGCTTGATTCAACCACATTGGTAGCTTGAATCAGCTACTGTGGGAGTATTTACGTCACAGAAATTGGCAAATGCTGCATCCAAATTAGCTTCCCCACCAGAGAGCCATTTGTTAAACATTTACCAGCACACCACCCATATATTGGGTTGTCAGAAAAGTCATGGCATATTTTTTCTATGTTTTTCATTGCAAAAATGCATCATGAATTTTCCGACAACTCAATACAACTGCCCGGGTAACTTCACAGAAAGCAGGAGACCAGACAATGGGACAATTAAGCCAGGATTATCTAAAACCATCATTGTTCAAGCAGAGACTTGCAGGCATTTTGCTGAGATTCTGTTTTAAACAACTTCCCTGACAAAGAACTTTTTGGAATGAGTTATATAAAGCTAGGTCACAGAGGTACAGGGCATTATCCGTGAGAGCTAGACAGACCTTTCTGAGAACTCAAAGGAAAAAATTGCACAGATTCCCTTCTACCAAACCCCAAGATTCACAAAAATGCAGACACAAGAGTCCATCATTAGGGTTCTACAATTTATGTAATCATTCTCCTTAGGTCCAATGTTTTTAATTGCATATAGTACTGCATATATCATATTATTTCTTTTAGATAGTTTCTTAAAACCAGAGTGATTGGGTCTAAGGGTATGCTGTTTCTTCAGCTCTTGGAAATCTGGCCAAATAGCTTTCTAGAAAATTTGCACCAACTCACACACACACATATCATCAGTACACTTGAGGGCCGTTTTTCATCTGACTGCTCTAAGGTTTTGGAGGTGTCTTCTGTTTTTTGAATTTTTTAGGTATCATGTGTGTGTGTGTGTGTGTGTTGTGTTTTGTGTGTTCTTTTTAAATTTACAATGAATTTATAGTGTAGAAAAATTAGAAAGTAAACAAAAAAGAGGAAAATTAAAAATTATGTGTAACTCCAATACTCAGAAATAACCACCGTTAATACCTCTGTGAATTCCTTTGCAAGCCTTTTCCCAAAAATATAGTCACAATTTTTTCCCCTTAAGAACAGGATTAGTATACATATCACCTTCTGTTGTAAACTGCTTTTTTTTCCCCCAAAACAATTATGTTATAAATATCTTTCAATTTCAAAAAATATTAATTTTGGGCATTAATGGCTGAGTTATATTCTATTGTATAGATACATATAAGTTCTCTGATATAACTTAGCCCCTACTACTGGGTATTGTTTTCAAGAAGGTGATATAGATTTTCATTGCCACCAGCTACTCGTGAAAATTCCTGTTCACTAGTCCTTACCAACACTGAAATTTCTAGAAAATCTTTCCAAGTTTGGTAAGGGGACAATAGTATTTCATTAGCTTACATTGCACGTCTTTTAATTATTACTGAGATTAAACTTTTTATACATGTTTTTTGGCCATAGCATTTTTGGGGAAATTGCCCATTTGTCATTTGCTCATTTTTCTATTAAGCTATTTCTTATAGATTTGAAAGAATCTATAAACAATACTGTATATAAATAACTTTTCCTATTTGTTATTTGTCTTTTCACTTAATTTTGTTGGTTTTTAAGGTACATTTTTATTTACACAATTAAATTAGTCTTTCCCTTGTGCTGTTTTTGTTGCTATGGTCAGAAAAAAAACACCTGTCTTCCAAAGATTACGGAGATAACTGCCTTTTCTTCTAGAATTGTTATAAACTCATGTTTTATATTTAAGTTTTTAATCCATCCAGAATCATAAATGGTGTAAAACAGTGTGGAAGTATACCTTTCTTTCTCCCCCAAATTTAGCTCATGTCTGTAACATTCATTTCATTTCTAGATATTTGCAATGTCTGTGACTCCCAAAACAATGTTAAACAATAGTAATATTAATAAAATTACTTTATTTTGAATAGATTTTTCTTTATCTTAATAAAATAATTGTGGATATATGAAATTCCTATAAGGCTGTCCTCTTAATTCTTGTTTGTAATAATAATAATATAGAAACATCACCCCAACTTCTCAATTAATTTCCAGTACAAAAGTAATGTACATAAATTATACAATGTCCATAACATAGATTATTTTGCCACTATTAGGAATTATACTGTAGAATATTTAATAATAAGGGACAATATCCATGACATGTTGTTAATTTTTTAAATTAAAGAATATTCTGTTAATTTTGCGCTTAGATTAGATGAGTTTATAAATGTATATGTATCGAGAAAACTGAAAGAAATGAGGATTTGGGTGTCTATTTCTTGCGGATGGGATATGTTTTTTTCTACTTTGTGCTTTTCAGCATCTTCCAAATTTCCTACCATGCACATGCATATAGCTTTTGTAATAAAAAATATATATCCATATAAAGTAAAATATTCTTTCTAAGAATTAATTTTATTCCTAAAAGCTTTTTAAAAAAATTTTTTTATATCTGAAACGAGTATCGAATTTTATCAAATGCTTTTTTCAGTCATCAATTTCGGGGTTGTGTGGTTGTTCTCATTTGACTTATTGATCTCGACCTATTGACCTGATGTATTATATTAATAGATTTCCTACAAAATAAACCATACTTGTCATCCTGGAAGCGGCTTTCCCTAATTATCCCAGGCTAATGTAATCCTGAGAGGACTTTGGGTTTCCTTTTCCAGAAGTAAGAGAGAGAAGCTACGACCTTCAATAATTTGTTTTATCCTTTGACTTCAGTTTATGCTTTTGTGAAGCAATTTTTTATACTTGCTTCATATCATTTGATCCTATGATAAATAAAGACCAGGTAAGATGGTCTCATTTTACAAAAAAAAAAATAGATAAGAGGGGTCCGGAAAAATTAAATAATTACATGGCCAGACAGTAGTACGGCCAGGAAAACAACACTAGCTTGGAGATAATATACCGCTCACCCTCTACACCTGATGGGTGTAAACCCCACCAAGCTATCCTTTCTGCTAACTCAAGGAGGCCCACACATTGTTGCCATCTCCCTCCCTCTCTGCAGATGGGAAGACTTCTTGCATCCGCTAGTAATGCACCAGCCACCACCATCTTTGCCTGTAATTGCTTGGCCATGATAATGTCTGGATGGTTCTCAAAGTGAAGGAAATCTGTTTACCATGCACAGGACACTGAGTAAGAACACTGTCTGTGGTAAGGTCTCTGGCCCTTCTGCAGCCTTTGCAGTGACAGACACTCACAGCTCTCATGTGCGGGGCCTGGTTAACTAGATGCTGCTAATGTATGGTGGATCCTCAGGTCTGCCCTAAGGAGAGCTGGTCTCTTCCAAAACAACTGGCTCCTTTCTTTACATACCCTGCCATGCACCCCTAATATCCTCAGCCTTCTTGGGGCTTTTTTTCTGGCCCCAGAAGGTTCTAGAGTCTGCCTTCCCTAACAAGTTCCTACGGGCTAAGCCCACTCTTCCACCTCCAGAGACATTAGGTCTAGATAGGGTGACCAGGTGTCCTGAGACATAAAGTTTATATCTGGGGTCCCAGGATAATTGTGAATAGTCTCCATTTCACTCTCATGTGCCACGATGGCCGTGAGGAATCGCTGATGCAGGGAGAAAGGACTTAGGCCCAAGATTTCGGGTCAAAGCCCTCTCTAGTGCAGTCCACTACATCGGGAAATCCTGTCTGCTGTACTTTAAAGTATATGAGGAATCTGTTCATTTTCCTCCAGCACAAAACTCCCACTGAGATTCTAAACATCATAACCTCTCACCTAGATTACCCTCGTTGCCGCCTCTCTCCATCCCTGCATCTGTTTTTGAATGCAGGAGCCAGAGACATCTTTTTATAACAGAAGTTAAAGAATGTTCTCTTTCTTCTGAGAATGTCCCCATCGCCCTCAAGTCCTTGCAGTGGCCTACAATACCCTTTGCAATCTGTTCTCCAACCTTGCACCACCACCTCCACCTCTAGGACCTCATCCTCCCCTCAGATTCTCTCATTGCTTAGCTGTGCGTCTCCTACACTGACCTCCTTGCTATTTCTCACCGTAGTCAGACATGCTCTACCTCAGGGCCTTTGCATTGGCTGTGCCTTCTGCCTAAAATGGTCTTTCCCCAGAGGCCTGCTTGATTACTTGCTTTTCCTCCTTAGTCTTTGCTCAAATATCACCCTCTTCATGAGATCATTCTTACCACCCTTTTAAAAACTGTAACACCTCCCCAAACACTTGATCTCCTCTTAACCCATTCTATTTTTTCCTCATAGAGCATGTCATTTTCTAACAAACCACATAACGTCTACTTATTTATTATGTTTATTCTCTCCCTTTCCACCCATCTTCTAAGTTCTGCATGGCAGGGATTTTTATCTGTTTTTCTCACTGGTTTATTTCAAGTACCCAGAACAGTGTCTGGCATATAGTAGATGCTCAATAAATATTGACTGAACAGATACATGGAAGCCCCACATCATTTTTCCTATACCCAAATCCTCTCTTTCTCCCTCTCTCTCTCTCTCTCGCTCTCTCTCTCTCTGTGGCTTCCCACTCAGTGTCACTATCAAGGCTATGTCGCCAGCCTTGACTTAGAGCTTCATTTAGGAAGCTCCACGGTGTTCATCCCGGGGCTTCCTGGAGGAGGATCACACTGTCATCTTTGCAACTCAGCTTACGTATCTAGAAAATAGCGAAAAAGAGAGAGCGACCTCCTTTCAAATGCATGTGTGTCTAGTCCCAGTAAGAAGGCCCCTCTGAGTTTGTACGCCATCTAGCTGGGCTCCACACCCACCTCCTGCATGCCTGGAAAAAGAGAGAGAGAGAGAGAGAGAACGCACTAGTAATGGGGACAGATGGCCCAGCCAGTACCTGTGGCTTCGTGTCCTCTTCGTCCTTGTAGTAGTAGAGCTGCTGTGCCCTCAACACAAAGTATCTCTGCTGCCAGTTTTTCACGATGGACCTCTGCTTCTTCAGCCAGCCCATCTTGATAGGCCTTTCCAGCGGGTTGGGGGTGGACGATTGGTGAAAGGCCGCCATCTGCTCACCAGTCATAACGCTCCTTGACCGAGCTACGGAGAGGAACAGACAGGCAGACTGACTGATGGATGTGAAGCAGTGTGCAAAGAGTGGGCGGAGAGGTGCGAGAGGAACCCCCGAAGGGGCTGAGCAGTGGGTGGGGCCCCAGCCAAGTCCAGCTCCAAGGTCCAGATCCGTATCAGAGAAAGTCCCCCATGACCCAGAGAGGGGCCTGCTCCCGATGAGGCCAGGCCGAGACCTAGAAGGAGGCAAGAGCCAGCAGCCCAGTGCGCAGGCAGTCCGGCCGCTGGGGTCGGCCCCCTCATTCTGCAAAGTGAAAGATTGGCTGGAGCCTTCTGAAGAGGAAGTGGCCACAGCATCTGACAAAAGGTGCTTCCTTTTTCCTGCGTGGGAGTCAGTATCTGACAAAAGAGAGGAGAAAATAATGCCTCGCTCTGAGGGTTCAGGGTGAGTCCGACGCAGCTGCAGAGGCACAGGAAGACGCCAGGCATTCTTCCTCCGAGGAGGAGCTGATGTGTTCACTGTGACCTCACTGTCAAATAGAGCCCTTCCTTAACAGACCCCCAAGACCCCTGGCCCCTGTCCATGCAGCCAGCATGCAGGAAGCTGACACCTCCTGGATTTTCCTGCGGAGTGTCATTGAGTGCCATTCTGTCCCCTGCCTGCTAAGAGTGTTTACAGCCGTTGATACTGGACCAAGGGCCTTCCTGTGGCTGCTTTCCTATACCTTTTCAGTCAGGTTGTCCCTCTCATGCAGCTGAAAGCACACACGCATTTGAAAGGAAAATAAATTTGCCAGAACACAGAAGCAGAATTTGAATCCAAACCCCTGGACTCACTGCATTGTGTAGCTGGCTGTTTTTACACAAGTGTTCTCCCTGTCATTGGATCAGGGCCAGGTGTCCACAGTTTATCTCCATGGTAACTTCCATCCAGGACAACTTTCTCCACATTTGCCAGTCCTGTGTCTGCATTTCTCTCCTTGCTGGATGGAGGAAGGGTCCATTTTACCATCCGTTTATTCAGCTTTTGACACTCCCCAGAACATTCACGATGTAGTTGAACTAAGCCATCTCCACTCTCCCCCATTGCATCCCTCCTGATTAGAGATATTTTCTTCCTTTCCTGGCACATTGATCCTGGGTCCTTTATGCAACTTCTCTGAGCCTCAGTTTCCTCAATTGTTAAACTAGGATAATAATAGTCCCTACTCTATGGAATTGTTGTGTAAATAAAACAAGCTAACATACACAAACCACTTAGCACAGTCCCCGGTCCAAGGTAAGCAAATGTTACTCACCATTTTTATCAACAGGTGGCTTTACTTACTACTGCAAGGATGGAGATGCTGTCTTTATTTCAAAATGTCACTCCATCATTAAGTTTTCTCTCTTCCTTCATTCCTATCCTTAATGTATTGAACTGATAACTTTTCCCTTGCTTTTGATTCTTTTCTTTCTATGTCCTTCTAGGCCTGTGGCTTTCAACCTTTATTTATGTTTATGGCAGACTTTCAAACTTCAGAATTTTATATGGCATTACAGACCCTTTCTTCCACTGACTTTAACTGCCAAAAAAATGTATACGACAAGTAGACACTTTGGTCAATGTTGCTCAAGCAGTAGTTTGTCGTAATCAGAAGTGTCTGGACACTGATGGAACCACTTTGAGCACCTCTTATAATTGCAGAAGTCAGTCATGACTTCTATTCGTCTTTTGTTGTCAGTATATATTGAGTATTACAATTTTAATAGTTTTTTTTCTTTCTTAAAATGTGTATACTTTTTTTGGGCACCCTCTGTATATCCAGAGTTATCACCCTACTAACACGTGTCACCCTTCAACCCTGTATTAATGTCTAAAGAGGACTCTGCTCTAACTGCACTCCCTTAGGGGTCTGTGTTCCTGTCACATACCCTCATTCCCAGGTGCCAGCTTGCAGTCAGTCACCCCTTACTTCCCACCAGGGACTGCAGAGGTCATATTATGTTGTACACCTGGGGGCAAGACATACTTGATCCAACCTCCTGTTGAACAGACATCATCAGAAGCGTACATATACTCAGCTGTAGTAAAAAGTAACTTGACATTTTGATTACAGTTTGGCAGTGTGCTTGTTAAGGGTTTGCTTTACATCACTGTGCCCTGGTACCCCCGTTCACATTTTTCTTAGCTCTTGCTCCTTAGTTAACTGCTGTCTTGAAGACCTCCCGTCTATAACTCACAAAACAGCGGAGCTGGTCACTTACTCTAAGACTGTGAAGATGATCAGAAGGAACAATAGCAGGGTGTTAGCAGGATAGGGAGGAGGGAATTTGAAGAGCTATAAAGAGAGCAAATTGTAGGCAGAGATGAAAAGAATGGGTCACACACACACGATTTCCGGAGAAATGAAAGAGTGAGGAATTCTGACAGATGCAGGGGGATTGTCCCCCACCTTAGTGTCACCCAGCCCAGTGTGACTTTTGTGACCATGCAGCTGGCGCAGTATCAGACTTGGGAGGGAGTACCCCCCTCCTAGCAAGGATATAACCAGGCATCTTCACTTGGCCTCTAGGATGACGCCACCAAATGGAGCCCGCACAGGAGAAGAGGGGAATAGTCAAGTGCCACCTGCTGGTTATAAGGACTCAGGCCTCATGAGCTAGCCCCGCTCCTCCCAAGATCCACAGAAATAGTTAGAACTACTATAGGAGATAGGAGAAACTGAATGTCTCCAACAGCTTTGAAGAAGAGGCATGGGGGGGGGGAGCAGGAGCCAAAAAAGATGCCGTAGATTAAAGAGCATTAACTCAGCACAGTTGCTGGGATACTATTCTGTTTAGTTCTGGGGAATTTTTTATGTTCTGTTGGGGAAAAACCAAGAACACAAAAACCAAAACCTCCCCCTAGAAGCATCTGTGCATTGAAGAATGGCCTGACAAAGGCAGAGGTGGGTATGGGGATCTAATGTGTTCAGACCTGACCAAACAGGGACTTAGATGCCCTTGTGGCAGGTAGGCAGTCATCTGGTCTGCCCGCATATGGCCAAGGCCTTCACCAGCTGTATTTTACATTCCGGAAATGACACTGTTAACCCATACATCCACCCAGTGCTTCTTGAGTGCTTGTTATCATCCCCAGTGTAGGTGATATGACTGTGGTCACTGGGTCATGTGGTACAAGTTAGTGTGTGGATGGCTCAACACAAACCCCCACACTGCTGAAATCAGGCCCGAACACGGAAGAGATGACAATTGGGGTTCTAATGAGACAGTGACTAAGCAGGGGGACTTTCTCTCCCAGGTCAGAGCCATCTCCCACCTTGGCCCGAAACATTGTTCATCAACCAGGCATATCATGAGGTAATTCAAATCTCAAAGAAGAAAGCCTGGTGGGTCTTGAGTTTGGCTTGATTTTGACTAACTTTCCTTGTTAGCTCCTTTGAACAACCTCTCTTTTTTGTGGGTGTGACTTATTCCCGGATGAAGTAAACAAAGAAATCTGTTACTATTAATGGGGCTATTTCTCATAATGAAAATAATAACCTTGATAAGCTTCACTTGTGAGCCAGTCATTGCACACTGAGTGCATGCTCCCAGCCTTTCAGGAAGGATTTCAGGCTGTGAGCTGGGGAAGGGGGCTGCGGGCAGACCAGGGAGGCAAGACGGGAAGTCGGGGAGTCAGAAGGCAATTGCTAAGCTTTACAGAACACTGTGTGGAAGAGGGGAATGCGGGCCTCATGAAATCAGAAACCCACTCTTACTCTACAAGAGAGAAAGAATAGCCCCAGCATTGTGCTGTCTAACACAGTAGCCACTTGCTGTGAGTGACTATGTACATGAAAATGAATTAAAATAAATTAAATTCAGTTCCTTCGTCACACCAGCCACATTCCAAGTGCTCAGTCGCCCCATGCGGCTCCTGGCTAGACTATTGGACATTACAGGTAGAGAATATATCCATCATCACAGAAGGTTCTATTATTCAGCACTTCCTGGAATCTGAGTGTTATCATTACTAAGCATGGGACAAAATAGGCCATACAGGTGGGGAAGCATTTCATCAAACAGAGAAATCAAGTCGGAGGGCCCAGAGAAAAAGTGGCTTCAAGTGGAAGACTGAGCAGTTCCACTTGGATCTGAGAGGTACTAGGGAGCTATTTCATGTACCTTAGCAAGGGAGGCCCATGACAAAATATAGATGAGTTGTATAATTGTACTGTATATGCTGAATTTTAGTCTGCGGTTGAGTAAGGGCATCAGAAATAGAAGTTCACATTTCCAGGGATGCAGAAGTTAGCTATTTTTTGCCCCAAGTTGGAGCCAGAGAAAATTAAAGAAGGAAGTATAAACAGGTCAGCTTGGAAACGTTATCACTTCCTTTCCTCATCTTCCCATCTTCTGACCACAACCCCTGAAAATAATCACAAAATCTTCTAGGGTTTACTTTTGAGATATTTCTGCTCTCAGTTTTGTCTCAGTTTAGATTATATTTTAGATGGCTCCAAATGTGTGGGTCAGATGGGAATAGTTCATTCAACCCTGAGGGAACCACTGAAGGTATTTTCTCAATATGTTGATATGAACAGTATATTAGTCTGGGAGCCATGTTTAAATGAGCTTGAAAAGGGAGTAGACTTTATATGGCTTCAACCCAGAAACTCTCTCCTGAGCTACAGACCCATCTAGTCAACCACCTGCATGTACCTCAGTGGTAATCCCAAGGTCACCATGTGACAAATCAAACTTACCTCCCACCTCCTCATCTCCCACCATTCCCCTGCCTTGCACCAACAAACACACCCACGTCTGCTTTATCTCCACTGGTCTCTGATGTGCTGTGAATGACCTTTGCCCAGCCAAGCAACCAGATCAGTAAGCTGCCCCATTCCTACAGTCATCACAACCAACAACTCTGTCTTTCTCCCTGATCTAGTCTTCCTCTCTATACCCACTTGGTTTTTGGGACCCTTCTAACTTCTCCCTGGATTTATACAATAGGTCCCAGACCTGTCTCCCTCCTACCAGATCCACATTCAATCCATTAATGA